TGCAGCACTTCTATAAGCATCTAATTTGAAAGTGCCCTTATAGTAAATTTATTTTTTTCCGGTTAATACTTTCGATAACTATCAGCCGTAGAGGAAATATGATAAGAACAAAAAGTGGTTATGTCTTAAGTAGGTACCCGGACAAAATATATAAAATTAATTAATAAATAATAAAAATTCGATCGATTTTTTTTCATATCGTAAATTGTTTTTCAAGTTCCGTTTTGACAGTGCCCCCTTCGCTTCACTCTGACCGAATTTAGTGTTCAACACTAACTATTGTGGAATCTGTTGTTTTTATTATTTTAATTTAAAATAACGGGAAAATCACACGAACTGATCTCTACATCCGTAGAGCACTAGCACAACGAATTATTTCATATTGTGGAAAGGATGTAAAATTGTGCACTTTACACGTTGTGAGAGTATGTCGTCAGTTTGTGTATTTTTCTGATATTAAACGTAGCATTGTGATTGTAAATATTTTTATTCCAAATAATTTTCCCAATAGCGTAGTATATGACAAACTTATTTAAAATAATATTCAAGCGAAAATAGGATACTCAGTAACGTATAAAGTACAGGAAAATCAACATTCCATTGATATACAAGTTTTTTTTTGTATTTGCGAATATTTTATTATTATAAGACTGAATGGGGGACGCAAACCTCGTTTAGATTGTGGCCGAGACCTTGACTATACCTAAAAAAAAATCGCGTCTCATTCTAGCGTGACTATACTCGATTTTTTTCTATTTGACTGGTCAGGTAAAAGGAAGTCATTTAGTCAGTTCTACCTCTAGTCGTAAAAGAACTTTTGAACAAGGAGCGAGTAATTGTAAAATTTTGCGACTAGAACCGACTAATTCACTAGTTTTTTTGGGTGCAATCAGGTCGAAACTAGTAGCTGTGTTATCAAGATTCAAAAATGGTGCCTCCGGAATAAGCTTATTTCAGCGTGGATAGTAAAATATCGTTATAACTTTTGAACAGCGGACCTACAAAAATCTAGTTTTTTGGAACTAGAATCGACCTAATAAATAACTATTTACCTAACTAATCCAATGTTAAAAAATTCGAGCTCGGTCACGCTGTAATCAGAAATACAAAAGAATTATTTATAACATACACATATTACATAACGTGTTTAATAATAACAGTCTCTTGGGATTTGGTTAACAGTGAGGTTTTTAGCTCTTTGCCTTGTAGTCGGCCATAATGAAGCTACGAACTAATATCGGCCATATATACAACAGTTAAAGCTGAAATTGGTTTCGACAGATTCCAAAAAATTCCCTTATGAACAAATATTATTATTATTAGTGTAAAGCGTGAAGCACACAGAGAACGGGTGCGGGTCGGGTCGGGACAGCGGCGGGTCTAATTCGTGCGGGAACGGCCCACGTGCCCGCGGTCGGTATGTTGTCGTCTATATAAATACATGGAATTAAATCCGCCGCGGTCCCGACCCGATACGCGCCCGACACGCATATTTCACGCTTAAATCAAGAATATCGTCCGCAATTTTAAGATGTTTAAATACCAAATAGTGTAGGTAATACACAAAGGTTGTTTTTTGTTATTTCTTAATATTTAATTTCTGCTGTTTATTTACTACATATTTTAGTCTAGTGTACGCTGGCTGTGAAATGTAGAGGCTCAGCTCTATCAATGCAAACAAAACATGGAATTTATACAAACTTTACTTTATTTAGTACAACAAAACATGATTTCGTTCAATAAAATTAATAAGTGAAATGAAATAAGCTCGTTTCTTTACTTTTACAAGTTATACCATTCCATTTAAAAGAAATTCGAACGTCACAAAATTCCTTTAAAAATTGTATTGTAACCCATATAAGTAATGATATAAGTCAAAGTACATTGTATTAAAAATAATTTAAATTTGACGACCTCAGTGGCCCAATTGTTAATACTGTAGGCGCTGGATGAGGTAGTCCCGGGTTCAATTCCCGGTAAAACGAAATTAGAAATGAACTTTTTTAGATTTTGTTCTTGTCTGGGTGTTCTGGGAAATGGCCTGGAGTGAATTCCGTTGCTCTGGTACTATAGTATAGGGAATTCCTTAGTTTGAGACCAGCCAGTTTGTTGTCTGGCACATTATTTAAAAATATTAACATAACCGCTCACGCGATACATGCAGCCGTAGACGCATACCACACCTAGAGGTGCCGGTGATGATTTTATACCGATTTATCGGATATCGAAGTTATAACAGGTAAAAGAACTAATATTAATTGCTATTACGGTAACTACTCTAGCAAACCATAAAGTTTTTAATGCCTGGGTCTGTCGTTTAAAAAAAATAAACAACTTAAAAATACGTCACGACAATCGTGTGTGTTATTGTTTCGGCTGGTGATTTCGGTGTTTATTTATGGAAAACATACCGTAAGTAACGTTTTTTAAGTTTACCCTGAATATAAATGTTTATAGACTATACTTTAAGGAGTAATTTCATGGTAAACGTTAGAACCACTCAAACGGAATATTATCATATTCATCCAAGTACACCAAAAATTTCATTAGTGCTTTTTAAGTGCAGGATTTGCGGTGTATTACTGCATTTTATTTGAGATGTTTTTGTTGGTAGTACGGAGGGTATTTATTTAGCAATGCAGAATAATTATTTTTATTTATAAAAACTTGTATTTAAACTGAATGCTTTTCTAATTTGCGAAACCAAATAGCCGCCATTTTGCTGTAGGAGGAGCGCATCGCGTGAGCGGATAATAAAAAAAATATTATTGGGAAATAAGAATGAAACACGTCGACACAGTAAGTCTTTATTAAAATAATTAACATCCAACTATAACCATTCATGAAGAAATTACAAATAGATTTTTTTTCATATTGCGCTTGGTCTGTTTTTTGGTTCATTTGGCCAGAGAAATGTTAAATCTTATACTATATCTTTTCAGGTTACATAAAGTAGAGCAGCTATTGTTTGGCTGCGGAAGATGGACTTTGTAGGATCCTAGGTACCTACAGAATCAATATTGTCAATTTTCACTTCCAAATTTGTCTGCTGAGTTTGTAAACATTCAAACCGTTCGAACCTGTTGCTCTACTAAACTAAAACTGAGCCAACTACACCAAAAATATCATGCGGACTAGAGCTATTATAAATATTACTCCTACATAAACACGAATACATTATTATAAATCTTTATTAAATCCTTTATAAATATTAAAATCTCTTATCAAGATGAGAATATCCATCGAAATGTTAGGCCTAACATTTACTTACCCTACTTACCGTAAAAACATCATTTGACCAATCAATGAGCTAGCCAAACATCTGTTTTGAAATTAACTAGAACTGTATTAAAATTAACGCACTCAAGATCTCACTTTGCGAAATAACTTACTAAAGATATTTTTAAATCGTTTGCAACGATCGAACAGACACTTCCTTTAAAAGAATTTATACACGTAACGCCACACGTTAACGTATACAAACCGTTAATGCTTTGAAAATTGAACCATACGTAGTACACGCAGAGTTTAAATTTACAATACATATAGAAAAATAGCAGATTGTATACTTTAGTGCGCGGCTCTGCGTACAATAACAATTTCAAACACGTACAAGTGTTCAATGAAATCACTCTAACAACTGGAATGCAACGGTTCAAATAACATTCAAAGTTACACTACATTTCTCTACATATATAAAACCATTAGGTAATGGCATATATACTAATACACAAAATTACGTATGTATATATTGAACGAACATCTACTACTCAATAATACATCCATACAAAAATAGTTAGAGAAAATTCGTCCAAATAGTATGTGTGACGTAGAACATTTTTTAAAATTGTGAAATCAATGCATTCAAGTAGGAATTTACACGATTAAGAAATATATTTTACCAATCATGATGGTAGAAGCAATTAACAAAAATCATAACTTATAAGTATAAAAAACGATTGCTTTAAGTTTTGAAATTAATGAACCTGGAAACACAGACAGCACGGGATGCACGAAAGGAGCCTCCCGTCACGTCGTACCATTCTTTTTCTGTACGTCTTGTGCTCCCTGAGCAACAATCTGCGAGTACCTTGGCAAATCCTTTTACCACGATGGCAAGCGTCATAGTGAGTAAAAAGAAGATAGCGAGTACATCTTGAATAAATATGAAGCTACATTTGAAACTGTTACTGGGAAAATGAAGGAATTAATGTTGTCAATATTATTTTATGGCTTTTTATGACCAATAATAATACATCGAATACAAAGGTGATATTATTGAATTTAGGACTGCTTGACAAGCAGTAAGGGCGCCTTCAAATTAAACGTCACTACTAACTTTTATACTATATTTAGAAGCGCGGCTGCCGCACCACTGACGCGAAACTGCCGAAACTGCAGCACTTCTATAAGCGTCTAATGTGAAAGCGCCCTAACTCGTGCGTTACTAATATGAAAAGCTTTAAGTACAGTAGAATGAACATTATCTGTAGGCTCATCCTAAGCTGCACGGTTACTTTTTAGTAATGGCACATTGAGAACACACTGTCATACTTTAAGCTCTAACATTTATAACATTTACCACAAATATCTATGTATGAATAAATATACGAGTTTTTGGCACATTGAATACATTTAAAATTTAATTCTAAAAAGTTTTCATGTCGAAGAGACAATACAAACTTTTACTTTTTTGGCACTCAAAAAGTACGATTTTTACTTAAAACCGGTTTAATCATAAATTTATGGTAATAAAAAACATTTTGTATATACTTCCGAAATATCAGCAAATTTCATCAAAATCTTAAATTGTGATTACTCTGTCAAAAGATTAATGATGATATGATTATTGTCGAAACGACATAACAAAACCTACAATAACTAACGAACATCTTTGAGAAATCACAATGACACTATTGCATTAACACGTTATTGTCTTTGCGCGAAATAACGTCATTCGCTCGATATGCTTTGCTACCTGTCGTTTAATAAAATGTAGTGTGGAAAATTTAGAACGGCTAATATTATCAATCATGTATCATTAGATTAGTTTAAGTCAAAATTAGCTTACAACTTACTACTACTTTTTTCATTTAAAAAATAATGCAACCTACATTTTTATTTCCAAATAGCAAGAAATCAAACTGACATGTAGGTAGGTACATAATTTTACCAAGAGGCATTTAAATATAACTAGATATAACTGTTTTCTAAACGTGATAGTAAGCACAATACTTTCAAATCAGTTTAACATTCCGAACATAAGTTTCTATTTTTTTTTACTATTTGCAAGTAACTACACGCAAAAACAAAAATTCTTCCACACTACAATTCCGTTGCGTTATTATGAACACAAAATACCGTAATAACGTTTATAAAATTAACGTTATTCAATGATCGCCCTTCTCTAGTTCAGCAAGTTCATGCGCGGGTGCGTGTTCGAGCTCATTTTGAACTGCGCGCGTCTTGTCGATGTCATTCTGCGACAGTGACGTCACTATGATGGCGCCCAGCGCATCGCAAACCACATTGATAGTTGTACGGAAGCGATCACTGAAATACAAAAATGTCAATGAAACAGCTACAGTATGAATCATAATTAGACGTCTAAAATGTAAACTAAGAAATGTCGTGTAACATCATTGTCAAAGTGTGAATGCAGGTGTGCTAAACCTTCTATTTTTAACGGAATTGAAAAAGGAGGAGGTTCTTATGTTTTAATTAACTATTACAAAATATGAACAATGAGCATAAACTTTAACAGCAACACAATAATTTAACAAACGCACTAAGGAGACAAGAAAACAATTGAGTTCGACAAACGAACCAAGAATGACATCTGTGACACCACAAAACGGCGGAATAAGAAATGTTCTTCATCCCGGTTGTGCTACCAGTGTCACAAAATTATTTACGACCTTAAACATAGTCTTTTATTATAATTATTGTATTGAATAAAAATGAACTTAAAATATGTATATTGCAAAATGTGAATTGTTATAGGTTTTATCAGATTACAACTTAAAAAGAATTTCAAACGATTGTTATCGTCCAAAATGGGAAAGTAACATTTAAAATATACTTTTTGTTCGGTTATCTCCAATGTTTACAAAGATTTTGAATCTATAGAAGAATCTAATATAGTAGCGAACCATCGTTTCGTACCCTTGGTACTAACAAAGCCACATGTGATCATACGTCGAAAAAGCTTTTATGACATGAAAGTTATAAAAATAATTTATGAACTACACAAAACAAATTATGTAGGAATATGTGAAATTGTATAACTCTTTTAATTAAGCATAAAAGTTGTCCACTAATTTCGCCTGTAGAACCTTTAAACCTCTCCTGAAAGTTGTCATTTTACAGATGTGGCCTTATTACACTAAGGATTTTTTTTATAATATCAAGTGACGGGACGAACAAGTGGTGCAGCTGATGGTAAGCTACACGCCTGTCCATAACAGTTGGAGTGCCACTCAGCTCTTTAAATCGAAAAGATCTGAGGGGCACTGCCACTGCGCCCGTCACCCTGAGACATAAATTGACAAGTCCCATGTGCCTGTAATTTCACCAGCACCCTTACCCTTCAAAACCGGAATTCAGTAATGCTGACTAACGTCAGCAGTAATCTGCTTGGCGGCAAAAATAGGTAAGGTGGCAGTACTTCCCTGGACGAACTCTGTCACAAGGAACTCTACTGCTACTAAGGATATAAGGATGCAATTTGTAATTCCATCCAGTAGTTAAATAATCATGGACCATGATCTCGTACAGTACCATTATTTGATTAACGTGTAATAAAGTGCCTGCACATTATTTCAGAATCACGAGAAAAAAAGGATGCAACCAACGATTTCTATGCACTAACGTACTACATGCAGCGTATTATACACATACTGAGTTTCACTGATGTGCGGTTCCGGCACAACACTTCATTTAGTTGGTTGTCAAACATGATAGCGGTCGCAGATGCGGTCCCTCGTTCAAAATTAACTTACATCGGTGTGTTGCTCACATTTCGCCATTTAACTAATTGTGTGTACATCAATTTAAAGTTTTAAATTATTCACATTGAATATAACGTAACATCAATTATTTCAACAACTAAAATTTAATTTTATTCTTTTACTTAATTTGTTTTATCTATTTAGTCATTCGTGTGCTTCGATAATGAAAAAATACTTCAAAAAATACCAATACAAAAATGGGAATAACTTTCACAGGTACGCGATTATTCTATTTTGGTTTTCTTCTGTATTATTATATAATGACGATAAACCTATCTCAATATTATCTGCCTGCCTAACTCTTTCCCAACAGGTATAAGCTGTCGCGTCTTTCCACGGTCTTAACACTAAAACAAAACACTACCACTATTGATAGTGTTTGTTTTAGAACATATAGTTTTCGTCAATGTTCTAGTCTATAGATAGATTGAAGTCTTTGGACGCAACATTGCTCGTCATAAAGTTTACTTACAGTAACCAATCAACCGCCAGGATTAGTGAGACGTCCTCAGCGGGGAGATTAACCGTATCAAGCACCATTACCATTGTTACCAGACCCGCCTGTGGAATGCCAGCCGCACCTATACTCGCCGCTGTTGCCGTTACGCTGAAAATTTAAGTATACATTTATGTATCGAGGTTTTAGGTTTTCGCGATTTTCACACATAAAAAATGAAACCATTTTTCGTATCTAAATCCAATTTTCAAACAGACCAACAGTTTGGGCCCTTTACAGGTCCCATAGTCATGACTAAGCTAAACTGGTCAGCCCTTTACAGGTCCCATAGTCACGTCTGACTGTCTGACTTTGTATAAAAAATATACCCCATTTAGATCTCAAAACTGGTTTCATTTCTAAGGATATTTTATGACTTAGAAGACAAGGATACTTATACAATAAAGATAATAATAACGCACACACCCAACATGATGATACAAGTATTTGAATGACAAGAATAATTTATGACTTAGAAGAGAACTATGAAAAATCAGTTAGCCCTTGGGTGCCACGGTGAGTAAGTTACAGTTTCAATTACTGGTATAACTAATAAATTCTGTAAAATATTAGGTTAAATTCGACCTATCAACAAATGGATAACAGGTATAATACAAAAGCTACGAAAACTATGTCCAGACTAAACTCATGTATACACGTAAGGAAGAATGAACAAAACTAAAACATTTAAATTGTAACGTCATTACGGTACTGCGTTATTTTGCTTGCAACAATTTGAAGGCCCAAAGATTCACCACATTCATTATAGTGCAACCTATTCGAACACAAAAGTAATGGAGTAGTTTTTAATGTCAATGTTAATTTATTTATATTATATATAATTTTGTTCAAATTTTGTTGGAAGGTCAATGTTACTATTGTATTCATAGTACAGAGACTTCTCTAGTTTGAGACCAGATTCGTAGTATTCCTAACACTACGAATCTGGTCGTACGTTTTACGAATCAGGGCCACCTCTGATTGGCGAACTACGCTGTATGAAAACGAGCAATATGACATAAACTTTATCTTCTACTGAATAAGGTTACACTTAATATTGACTGTAATGAATATCATGATGTTTTACTGCCATGATATTCATTTATTTTTTGTGAAAATACTCCACTAGTTTATAATAATTATTAATACAGAGATCAAAAACAAAGAAAAGTTCGAGTTAGATCTGACAGGACTCGAACCTACGTCAGTGCCATACCAAGGCAACGAAGGTTATACTTCTTTAAACAAAAAAATATAAAGATCATCAAAGATCAATAAAAAGATCAAATACAAGGAATAAAATAATAGTAGAAAGAGAATTTTTTTTAGAAAGAAGTAGATCAGTGTCAATAATGCATGAAAGAAAAAGGATGCACAGCGTCTGTCTTCAACTTACATGCAGCGTGTGATACGCTATTTCACTGTCACGTAACACGTAGAGATGCTGACTACCTGGAACGTTTGATGATGACAGTGCAGGTGGAGGGAAAGCATCGAGTATATAACCAGAAATAGAGACGAAATGCCATTTCATTTGTTTGAAAACTATTCTGCCAAATCATTCCGGTAACAATTACGCTACGATTGGCCAGCCCGAATTCGAAGCTATTAACGGGTGTCGTCAATTGTTTTACTTCAAATCGACCAGTTTAACTTGAGCTTTGCTATAATGAACTAAAATTGAAAAATTATATATACATATGAAATTCCGGAACGGAAATGATTCCGTTTGTTTTGTAATTAGACTTTTTGGTTTTGCTGTTTTTCCCACACCACCGAACGGAACAGCCTCCCATTGTTAGAGATATTAACTTTATTACAATAAATACAGTATATTTTTGGAATATACGGAGACGTACACACACGTACAGGTAGAGACGTACAGGTTGCTTGTAGGTACTGTACTATTTTAGCGTTCTAATTTGTGATTTCAGCGCCGACGAGAGTTGAAATATAAAAGTGATATAAGGCCCATTTGCCTGATGAATGGATGGCCCTTATTTCGTCTCTATTTCTGGTTATACATATACTCGATGAGGGAAAGAGGTCTAGAGGCAGAAGTTTCAAAAGGTGATCGGATCAGATCTCCGAACTACTGGAGCTACCCGGCAGCGCCGCACTACACCATGCGACTGAGCGCAACCGACCGAGGCAAATTATTGGCTGGATGAAGTGTAGTCATGATCCTCAGCAGTGAAGAACCTAAAAGTGAAGAATACACAGCATCCACTCACCTTACAGCCACAATTTTTCCGAAAGACATTTCAACCTTTCTCAGTTGCGCAATAAAGATAGCCGCCACTGCTTCATAAAGAGCCGTTCCATCCATGTTTATAGTAGCCCCGATGGGAATTACAAAGCGCGTGATACGAGGATCTAGACCCATTTCGTCGCAGCAGCCTATCGTTATCGGCATCGTAGCTGAGCTGGAATCATTCGATATATTATACACATTTATTGTTGGACTTCAAATACTACTAGTACTTATGCTGCATTTTTTTATTACAGAGAAAAAAATACAGTTACTATTCTACACAGAATTATACTTTTTTTTTATTAATTCCCACCGGGTCGACGAAATTTGTCTGCGTGTTCGATCTTTGTATTCATACGTAATCATAAGATCCTTACATGATAATTATGATTATAATGATCCCAAAGTTAGTAACTAAAGCACTTGTGTTATGGAAATCGGAAACAACGGTGGTACCAGAAACACCCAGACCCGAGACAATATAGGTAGTTAATTTTCTAGATGTACCCAGCCGGGGATCGAACCCAAGACCTCAGAGATGGCGACACCATGAAAACCGGTGTACAAGCCACTGCACCGTGTAATGTCTAAAGGATTTATGATAAAGCTTCAAGCGTATTAAGGTACTTAAGTAAACAGGGCTTAAATGTCAATTGACGAAAAGCATATCCGATTGGTTTTCAGGACATGCAAAAAACTTTTTTTTAATAAAAAAAATTTATAACTTGTTCCATTTTCTACCTACTGCTATGGATTCTTTGTTCCTTTATTCTGTTGAACAAGGTAATATTTTTTTTATAAAAAATGTTTTTTGCATGTCTTGTAAACCATGCAAATTACGTCAATTGACATTTAAACTATCGATATGTGTAGGCGTATTTAAGTCCCTGGCAATACACTTAACACATTCGCGCGGGTTACGTATTTACTATGCCGCCCTAAACATTTGTAAGTAACGTGGAACAACATCAAAATATTTAAAAATTTCACAAAGTAAGGCTCAGCTCACACTGGCGCAGAGTCGACGCGTAGCGACACGTCATGTTTTTCGCCTATAGCATATTCATCTCTCTATCATCGCTCTATTTTCCCATTATTAAGGTACAAATTTGTGTTATGCAAATATGGAGTCATGCGTCGATGCGCGTCGCCGTGTTACTTGAGCGCAGTGAGGCGTCAGACTCCACACTGTGATGTGTCGTCGCGCGCCAGGCGTTGAAAAACAGGACGCGACGCGACGCTTCCACTCTGCGCCAGTGTGACTAGAGCCTAAGTAAGCAATACTCACACATATCAATGATCGCTGGTACAAACGTCGGCGGGCGGTTTATAGACCTCAACGTTTATTGACGTCAGTATCATTATTTGTTACATTCATTTAATAGTCGGTAGAAGAAACGTTTATAAACGTTTGCATTAATGTATGAGAAAAATATCTACCACAGCGCGTCAATCGTCAAAAGCACGATCCTCGCGCGAATGTGTTAAGTCGTCAAATCTATTATCTCTTATTCTTCTTTCATACCTCTCACTTAAGTTATTGTAAGTCAAAACACCATTTTTTTACTTTTTAAGTCAAATATATACTTTTTTGCATATTGTATGTTCCATATTTAAAAGTAAAGAAATCACTTAGTGTGATCCTTACTTTCAAACAAGGAACCTATAATATAAATAAAAAACGATAATTAGTATATGTAAATTAAAAATCAAATAATGGTATTTAGACTTACAATAACTTAAGTGGGAGGTATCGTTTCCTTCGTCATCACTTACCTGGAAGCAGTACCAAAGGCAGTAGCCATAACTTGTCCCATCTTCGCGATATACCGGCACGGCAGCTTCTTAGTAGTCAATATGAAAAGAACACTCAAAGTTCCAAAGCCGTGTAAGAACAATCCCAACAATACGGTCATGAAGTAGAGGCCTAGTCGCCCTATCAGTTCTTGGAACGAATCAATTTCCATAATCTTTGCTGTTACCAGGAAAAATACACCCAGCGGGGACATCCTGTAAAACAAAAACACAAACTTCGATAATAATAACAGCATGTAATAACAGAAAATGTATTGAAAATGCGCAGAAGGTACGACGATTAGAGATGTGCAGTGGGTTAAAATCCTCCCGAGGTTTAACCGAATATTAACCCAATGCGCCGGGTTTTAACCTATTTCTTTTAACCTATTTATTTAAATCATGGATGGAAAATCTTATACTAGTAAAACAATATGAAATTTGGCACAATTTCATACTTATTAGAAATGTCGATGTAAAAAAATTTTATAAACGAAAAAAACGGCAATTCCACGCAATACTCACCTTGCAACCCTGTGGACTATCACTTACTGTTAGGGGTGCATATTGCGATTCCATTTTTGTGAAAATCGATTCTAGTGTATACAAATTACCTATTTTTTGTATCGATTCATGTCAATTGACTTTCAAGCGAATCGATTCAGCAGAAAGGCACAATATGTAACAACGCAATTAATTTTTGTAATAACACAAATATTTGGTTGTAAATAGATTTTGTCCTCGATTTCGGGTGTTGATGGATTTTAGTCAGATATAAACCGCCGGGTTAAAACCCGGACGCTTGCCAATCTCTGGTGACAATGAAATATTTTCAAAAATAACGGACACGTTTATCATGATCAATCGTTAATCACCAATGGTTTGCAAGGAACGGTGGAAGAACTCTCTTGATTGGTTAAGTGCATTCACCTCCCGCTCTCTGCCACCAATTACGGGTAACGGATGAGTCTACTCAACATAGAATTTCTAATTTTGCGATGGTAGCTGGTTGGATTTGTTAGTTTCACACAGTTAGCTGTGAAATTTATTTTGTATTCTTGGTATAATATTTGATCTATTATATCAAACAAATTATGTGAAATTTTACAACTTTAGAAATAAAAATATTAGTATTGTTGTTATCGAGTCACTTCGTTCTAAGAATTATATTATTTCTCTCATTGACTTACAAATAAATGGACGACGGGTCTAATACAAAAACCACGAAAAAAATGTCCCAAGTCAACCTATTCGAAATTTAAATTGTAATGTCATCGCAGTATCGCGCTGTCAGTAGAACAAATGAAGACTAAAGCGGAGTGTCGCGCTCTGTATACGATTTTAGCGCCTTACAAGTGCGGACACTTTTTAGCGCGGACCCGACGTCCATATAATTGTAAGTCAATGATTTCTCTCCTGAAAATTTGGCATTTTGCAAATGAGACTTAATTATATCAGTGACGCGATTTAATTACTAATATGAAACAGCTTTTCAAAGTAACATAATATATATCTTTGATAAATGACCTCACCAAATAACCCAACTGGTGATGATCATCATGGCTTCTGACAAGGAGTGAAAAAAGTTCTGCAGCGGTCGACTCTTCTCACCCATCTTTCCGAGCGTGATTCCCAAAACAATGCTAAAACATACCAAACCCAGGACATTACTGCCAGTTTGGTATTCGCCTTCGATCTTGTACGTCTCCAGGTGACCTAGAACAAGTAAAATAGGCAGTAAGAATCCAGAATTAAATCGAAAAGGTATGATTCTAGTTCGTTCTTCAATCTGATTTGTGAAGAGAAGAAACTGATTCATTTGACATAAATCGAACTGACTTCAGCTATTCGGTACACCTGCACCTATCTACCATCAATGTATGTAATACAGACCTATACCAAATAGAGATACATAACTAATTCCTTTCAAAATATATAAATCCTAATTACCTTTGATGGCCTTCGTATCATTTTTGTCGAAAGTAAGCTTGGAGCGATACGTTGCAACTGTAGCTTGCACGAGGTTTTCTGGGAACACATTTCTGGAAAATACAAATATACTTAGTTTTATATCTGACAATTTTTTTAAAGAAGCACAAAGTGATCTTACAAGCGTCAAGGGCATTAGAAGTACCTTTGAAAAGTAATATATTCAAGCTTGTTGAATCACTTTTTATTCATAGTGAAGGGCAAATCATTTATACCAATGAAAAGGTGTACAGAACACCTCATGGCCGAAGAGCTTCCGATGCTTTATGACATTATAAAATTATTTTTGTACTGTAACTAACCATCTTAGTGACCTATTCAGTTTATTTAATGTCACGATGATGTTGTACTATCATGATGTTCAATTATTTTTTGTGAATATACTCCACTCGTTTTGTTATTAATTGAATATCATAGTATTAAAACATCGTGATATTCAATAAACTTCTCAAGGCGACATCTCTAGTCAGCCACTTGTGAAGAAACCTGGCCGAGTGAAGAAAAACTTTCATAGAATTCTCACAGATGTCGCTACAGCAAAAAGTTGTTAAAAACGAAGGACTAAAAACTGCAACAAGCACATAGACGAATTCGTAAATTCTGCTGGTTTGTTCTGTAACTCAGTTGGGAGAGCGTCAGCCACGGTATGCTGAAGGCGCTGGTTCGAAACCAGCCGGATCAAAGGAATTTTTTTTAGTGTTCGATCTTTGTATTAATAATTATAACATCCTAGTGACAAAAAAATCGACATATACACAAAAGGTAATCGACAAAACTGATTTACGATGACTGATCGTCACAACCCTGAAGTGTTCTTCAATATCAACATTCTTATTTTAATGGTGTTGTTGCGAGTAAAGAGATCGGACTAATAATAAACAGCCCCATATCTTCCTACATTAGTTTCGATTACAGTGACCCTCCCTACTGACCCTTAAGGTATACGAGAAGGGTACTATAACCTGTACGCGCACAAGAACCTCATAAGTTCAGGTTCTGACCCCAAATCAGCCAGTGTACAGGGTTGTCACAGACCTCTGTCACTTGACTTCATCCGGTTCTTCGAGAGGCTAATGCCTCGGGTGAGCCGCCCCGGGTGCACGTACAGTATCTTCCCTGTTTTCCAGATAGATACTGGAACTGTAGGTACGCTCACTTCCAGTTGCGCATTGCACAACTAGCGGCTGCCACCGCTAAGCCGTCGACTCTGAGTCCACTACCAAATCTCCTCATTTGTGACGGAGCTGTAAGACACGCTCATTTCCCGACGCTGAAAAACGACGTCTCTCCAGTTCCCAATAACCTAAGCGGCTGCAGGGACCGGAGGATATCTAGCTTATCGTCAACTAGCTCTCCGGGCTAGTGCCGGAGAAGCCAGTTGCAATGTCCTGCGACAATGTCCGGACATAGCTTCCAACTTAAAGGGCAACTCAAGTGCCCCGCGCGTCTCCTCGCTTTAGACCCTCAACTAGACCGCCCCGGCCACACACCACCGGAGCAGACAAACATGTCTATCTCTACAGCTAACCACAAACCCCAGCGAGTCCATACCCAAGTCCGGGTCAACCAGAGACGTTTGCAAAGGCGTATCACTGGCAGAGGGCTTGTACCAGCTAGACCCGCTGGTCTTGGCGTCGAGCCCGTCGTCTCTCCGGAAAACCCTATCGCTCGGGTCGGTAGATAGGAACAACTAATAATAAACAGTGGAGAAGCATCATTAACCAATTCAGATAGGTGCACTTATTGCCACTTTACAATGTACTATTTATGACAATGTGCCAAGCAACTACGACAATGATCTGGTCCCAAACTAGAAACTTCCTTGTGTACCAGATTTTCAGAATTTACTCTAGTACACTATCGAGAACACTGAGACTCGAATCAATTTAAAAAAGTAATTGTCCGAAATAACATTTGCTCGAATTTTTATAATTCGGAAAGTATGAAAACTAACGCGGTTATCACACATTATAGTATAAAAGTAACGGGACTTACTCTCGTAGTATTTTATTCGGAAGCGGTCCGACCAGTTTCAACCATAATCGATGGTCATCAGGGGTTGAGTGCAACGTTCGCGACCGCGTCACGTCTAGCACTAGTCCAGTGCGGTCCGACTAGTTTCAACCATCGATTATGGTTGAAACTAGTCGGACCGCTTCCGACTAAAATACTACGCAAGTAAGTCCCGTTACTTTTATACTATAATCCAGAAAGTAATTTTTCGTGGAAAACTATTTTCTTGGAATATTATAAAACAATCATCATAGGCATACAAAATATTCGAAAATAATAATGGTTTCGCTATACATCGGTCTTCGGGACTTTAAAAACTCCAGCATACATTATTTCGGCCAAATGTAGTTTCGGGTTTCTAATCGGTTACCCCTCATTCAAGGCCAACAATGCAAGCCGTTGGGCTGTTAAGGTCGGCAAATTTAGATGCAAATGTAAAAAAAATAGATACAACATAACGTTGCCTTACTTTCTCAAACACGTTTCTTAAAGCACATAGTAACTATAATGCATTGTATACATTGACTTACAATTATATGGACGTCGGGTCATCGCTAAAAAGTGTCCGCACTTGTAAGGCGCTAAAATCGTATACAGAGCGCCAAACTCCGCTTTAGTCTTCATTTGTTCTACTGACAGCGCGATACTGCGATGACATTACAATTTAAATTTCGAATAGGTTGACTTGGGACATTTTTTTCGTGGTTTTTGTATTAGACCCGTCGTCCATTTATTTGTAAGTCAATGATTGTATATACAAATTTTGCAGGCTAATTTCACATCACATTTCCTTCATTATTCACACACTGGCTTTTACCTACTCTAAAGTAATGCATCTAAATTAACACCCTTGATAAGAAATTTTAAAATAAATAGAAAATTTCACCATTTCCTGAATAAGCACTCTTTGTAAGATACGTGTATGTGGAAGTAAGGCATCGATAAGATTAATTCATTGCTTTATAGAAATTATTATATAATAACTACCTCTGTGACCGAACGGTTACCATGCTGGACTGGAGAAATATTTATATGGCCTAAATTTATTTCTCTCGTGAGTTTGAGTGTAATTTTGTTTGTCTATGTGTGTGTCCATTACACCCGCGATATAGGATTTCCCTAGTACGGGGCTATGAGTGTGTGCATTATTAAATGAGTATAATAAAGCTCCTTGTGAAAGAGTTCGTCCAGGGAAGTACCAATTTCTGCCGCCAGGCAGTAATGTGAGTAGTACAAAATTACATCTACCTATAGAGTAGTAGAGTGGCAATTTGAATATAAATTCTATTAGTAAATTGTATTTTTAACGATATGATTGGCGTAAGTAGTGAAGAAAGTATTTTGCAGATATGGCCGTATTACAATAAGGGTGCGAATTTTTTGTTAAAACGACTCTTAACAACCGTCGTTCTTGATTTAAAATATGGATTATCTCGTATAAGGAACAACGAGATCCTGTCATGGCTTGCAATATTGTGTCATCAAATTATCCAATTTGTGGTACCCAATGCCAGCGCAGTAAACCCGTTACGTCACACCACCTGCTATTACGCTCGCAATCTGTCACAGCATTGTCTTGTTTGATTGATACTCTTTTAGGGTTCCCGATATAAAAAAACTATAGCCAAAAGAAGTTACTTGAGGTCAACGGGGTTAAATGATTCAACAATTGTCCCGGCCTCGATTCCCGGGTCGGGAAAAATATTTGCATGGCCTACATTTATTTTTCTCGTGAGTTTGTATAAATAAATGAATAATCATAAAAATAAAAATCTTTTATTTTCAGACACCATGGTCCATAGTTTGTTAGTAAGCAACATTATACTATATTAGTAACAACTGACTGTAAGGTGAATTTATGGTGTATTGTATATGAAGTGTACATTAAAATTGTCAAAATATACAAAATATATGATAAATATATATATAAAATTCACTGGATTAACAATAATTTAGTCGAAAGTAAAAATTCAAAATACTAAAATTTACATTAATAAAATAACAATTAAAATTCAAATTAGCTAATAAAACAATAATAATTAACATGAACAAAATTAAAATTTTAGAAATTACATGTCATAGGGAAATCCAATTTATGGTTGTCAACCTATGTGTGTGTTTATGCCATCCGCGATACAGGGTTTCTCTATTGCGTAGTTGTGAGGGAGCTCGGTAATTGAGGAGCGTCGGAACTAAATAAGTAACATTTTTACTTTTTCTTTTTTTATTAATTACTGAACGGCAGTTTTTGTTCGTTTCTATGAATAATTTATCCAACCCGAAGATCTAAAAATACATTTCGAAGGCACGGATCGGAACACTATGCGACAAATCCTTCCTTTCAATGAGACTAAATTAAATTATAATCGAAATTTATTCGCATTCGTCGGTTTATGGTCAGGCAACAATTGTAGTTGAAATTTCACACATTACTCTGCTTTAGAAGATATATTTTTTATACGTCACAAGCAGATAGCATAAAATAGAATAGAAAATAATTTAAAACTCAGATAAGTCCATTGCACCACCAATATGCCATTGAATTATTCGTAAATTCGTACCTTTCATATAATAAAGCCACATGTGATAATACTTACGTCAAAACGGTACCTTGTCGTTTTACCGCGTGGTCTATTATAACGAAATAATCATTTCCATATCTAGTCGTTTTGCTACCAAGTCATTGTAAGTTGCAATCTTTCTGCAGAGGTGGTCGTTTTGCGATCTAGTCCTTATGCTGATGAGGTCATTTTGAAGATGTAGCCATTATGATACCGACCCGTCAAAAGGGGTGTACTTTCATCACATGGGAGTCATAAAAATAACACGAACTACATGAAGGAAATTATGTGTGTGGAAAATTTTATAGCTATCCTACATGAGCATAAAAAGGTTATAGACTAAAAAGTTGTCATTTTGCAGATGTGACCTTGTTACAGCAAGGGTGCGAATTTGTTATTGAGCGTGGCAGTGTTTATGGAAATGTGGTCAACATGAATTTGCTTTAATGGGTCGATTTTAGTGAAAGACAAGGATGTCA